ATCGTTTACTGATGACGTAATCATAACTGAGCTCCAAGTTCTTGTCAATGTTTCTATAGAAAGTCCTCCGTCCCGAAGTTGGTCATTAGCACAGCTTCAAAATGGGACGCAGAGTTCTTCTGACATCCAAGTGAGCTCATTTTTAGGTTAACTTTTTCCCAAGTTCGTCTCTCGGATGCAGGCAACTTGCCCATCTAGTTTGATGGGTAAGAGCGGCTTTGGTGGCGTGGCGGTTAGCGCACTCGCCTGGAAAGCGTGAGGTGCGGCTAGAAGTACCACCGGGGATCAAGACTTCTGCCTATAACACGCCTTTCTTGTAATAACTAAACTCGCAAAAGGATGGACGTAAAGTCCTCCTGAGTGCCGAATATATTCCTTTTTAGGTTAATTCTTTCCCAAGTTCGTCTCCTGGATGCATGGCGACTTGCTCATCCAGTTGACTCTCCAGATGGAGCCGCAGCATCAGTTTCTTCTCTCAGTAATTATCGTGGAGTGGTGCATGGTGGGACGTGTGACCGTCCGATAACTGTTATTCCGAGCAGAGATACAAAGAGAATGTGAGCTAATCTTTTTTATGAGATATTTTTTACTACAAATTATTTTCGTTACAATTTTCTCAATCTATTTGCTCTCTTATATTTGCTATTTGCCATTTTCGTTGCTCACTTGTATTTGCTATTTGCCGATTGTCTACTACTCATTTACTTTATTTAAAATTTATTCATACCTCCTTCATTCATATGTTTTTTAGGACGAGAGCAAACGAATTGACTACATTTTGTTCAAAGGTGTTCGAATGTCTGTCTCTTTAGAACAGTGCGATATAGCAATGAACAAGGTGTGTGGTGTTGTTTTTGTTATGTTTGATTTCATTTCTATAAGTTCCCATTAGTGGCAGTTTAAGCTGAATTATTCATGGTGTTAGTTACTTGCAACTCATTTCTCCAATTTCCTTTTTTACTTATTGTAAGGCCCTTTGTAAAGTTCTTGTACTAAGATGGCCGCCAAATTTTGGAGATATTTTCCTGAGTTTCAATCCCCAGTTCTGGTTTTCCAGTGCCCCTACTGCTTTTCTCCATAATATTCTAGTTTCTGTCTCAACTGATTTGTGTCATAGCTGTCGTCGAGCTGAATGCTCTGAACGCGTATGTTTGGTCTTGCAGTCAGAAGGGAATCGCTGACGCCAATCCCTTTGATCCGCTAGAGGGCGACCAAATCGTGTAGCGTGAACGTAGCGGTAGAGTACTCTGTGGTACTCTATCGCTATCCACGGCACGTTGCCCGCGTCCCTGTTTACGTGATATCCCCCCTTCGTTTCAAAAAACATGGGCCATGCCAAGCAACTGAAAAACACTTTTAGAGATCGCATTTTGAAGTCACGTTCTCCTTGGCGTCGCCCACTGGGATGCAGCCGAAGACGAAAAGAGATTGGATCTGGACGCGGTCAGTGGCAGGCGTAACAGAGGGAAAGAACCGTCCAGTCAGACTGCGCACGCTCATTTGAGTCAACTTCGCGACGTTTCATTTGATCAGCGTGTAGACGCTCAATGTCACACAAGAATGAGGCTTTTCTTTGCTCCTCCTCTTATTTTAGCTGCCACTCGGCCCAGTTATTTGCTCAGTATGGTATGGCAGCAGTCTCTAACGGTCGACTCCCTTCCAACAGTAGCACAACATGATCTTCTTGAATACTGGTTGAGGCTTTGGTTTCTTCTCTTTTCCCGGACTGGGCCATTGTCACTTGCGCTAAAAACTGACGTAAAAAACACCCATATCTAGTGTCCAGTTACCACATAATGCTGGGCAGTCAGACGCCTTGTAAAGTAGGAAATGTCAGATCCTCTACACAAAAGGTAAGGTAGGGGTCAGAGTGCAAGGTTGAGGAAGAACACCGCTAACAGCAGCTATCCAGGGGGACAGCAGTAGTAGAAATGAAGTATTTAGCATAGATTAATAGGGTCAGCATTGGTCATTTTATATGAATTCCTAGAGCTCATCTACAATAAATGTCAAGGATTACTGGCCCCAATCCCGTATAGCCTCTAGGGTAGTGAATGGATGAGACTTTTTGACACAGCTATTGTTGTACAGTTTGAATGAAGACACTTGTTTGAGATCCCAACACTAGATGAACTTAAAACCTATTTCTGATCACGGTTGTTGTACATGCTCGTTTCAGGATTGCAAGTGAAGAGCGTGAGGTAAGTCCATCTTTCCCTCGTTATTCTAATAAGTGATATACAGTAACAATCATCTATTGGTTTATTGGATGACCTTGATCTAACTAATCGACTTATTTATTTTATTCGTTTTCCCCTAACCTAATATCGATAGGGTAGTGACAAGTGGCGCGCTTACCACTCGCGCGGTCCTGGGTTCGAATCCCAGGTCGACACCCCGCCAGGCCAACCAAGCCTTCTACCCTCCGGGACGGTAAATTGGTACCAGATTCGTCTGGGAGGATAAAAACACTGACTTGTACATCGGCTGGCCCCCGCAAGTCATTGTATAGGCCACATCGCATTCAATAAGCCACTACGATTCTGAATGGAAGTAGAATGCGTGCCGCATCCCACAAAGGGATTGATCAACGGCGAAGACTTTATCCTTTATTTAATATCGATAAACCCAAAATAGATCCTTTTTGGAGGTGTTACTTTTTTATGGAGATTCTCAGAGTGGTTTCTTTTGGCAGAAAATGTGGCTAAAAGTTTGAAGGTAATAGCATCGATCGATTCAGAAAACGTCTATAGCTCATGTTTTTTTACCTTGTTATGTTTATTAACGGCAAGGCCATGTGGCAAAACAGAGTAAATACAATTAGTGGAAAAAACACAACAATGTGAAGCAAAACAACTACTTAAGCCATCAAACGGAGACAATGTGACATCAGGAAGCGAGATACCTTTCCAGAGTGGCTTTAAAAGAGATAAGTTTATTGGATGAGCTTCTCAAGGAGGGTAGCCTATGGAACTCCTGGCAGGTTCTATTCGCTACTCTCCTTGGGAAGGTCATCCAATGAATTTACCTCTTTCAAAGCCACACTGGAAAGGTATCTCGCTTCCTGATGTCACATTGTCTCCGTTTGATGGCTTAAGTAGTTGTTTTGCTTCACATTGTTGTGTTTTTTCCACTAATTGTATTTACTCTGTTTTGCCACATGGCCTTGCCGTTAATAAACATAACATGACATAACCTCGCGCAGACCTCATACTCACCTCTCCATTTTTGATCCTTCCCCTGTGAGCCCATTCTCCTGGAACAATCAAGTTCAGTAGGAGGAACGTTCTACATTAAGAAACTCGTTCCTGGATTCCCAATGTTTGGCGATGATCAGTTAATCGCTACCTCGCCAATGCGAATGAGTTTAACCTCCTCAGTCAGGTACTGTGCATCATTCGTGCATGCCATTAGTGGACGTGGGCAAATCAATATGTTGCGCATTTTGAATAACAGCGAAGGAATAGATAAAATGTGGGGAAAAAGTGCTTGTTGTCGTTTCTTGCGGCTACTTTTCTCTCAGCTGACTGAGTATGTGGAGATTTTCTTCGATAGTGAACTTCGCCATGTCTCCGATGCTTCTTTGCCTGTTCGTTTGCTAATAAGGGGCGTATTTCGTTAACTTCGAAGTACAGATCGCGAAAGTTTCTGGGCATGGCGTCGTACCTACGGGGACACAGTGTTAAGTTATCACAAGAATGCCGAGTTATGGGCAAAAGTCGTACCCCAGGCGGGAGTCGAACCCGCACCTCACGCTTTCCGGGCGAGTGCGCTATCCGTTACGCCACCAGGGCCGCTTTTACCCTCTCAGCTAAACGGCTTCTATGCCTCTGAAAGCGGCTCTGGTGGCGTAACGGATAGCGCACTCGCCCGGAAAGCGTGAGGTGCGGGTTCGACTCCCGCCTGGGGCACGACTTTTGCCCACAACTCAGCATTCTTGTGATAACATTCGGAACGCGTACTGCGGCGTTAAACAGCAGTTATCATAACAAAACAGCTTCAAAAACGTGTTAAGTGCTCACATTTTAAAGGATGTTCGAGTTCTTTGAACTTCCTTTACAGCTTTTTGGTGTACGGTTTCGCCTATAAGGTACTGTAAAAACCTCATGAGAGGGTCGCACTTCGTTGCTGGGAGTCGTACCAAGTGGGGAAATTGGGAAGGGATCATGCCGAGAAGACCATTTCACAATTCGCGATCAGTGCACGTCCTAGTGTGGAGAAAATTTTTGCGAAATGCGACCCTGTCCCTCGGGATTTCCTCCTCTGAAACGTCCCCCCCCCTTCCTCGTCTCCATCTTACCTACCTTCCTTAACCCTCCCAACCATTTAACGGAAGCCTTTAGTTTTTTTTTATTTCTTAGAAATTCCCCAGTTCTTCTCCGAAAGAAATTACCGTGCCGAGGAGGTGGGATGTATCGCTTGAAAAGGAAAAACTGAGACAATCATCAACCTGAAACATTTTACTTAAAAGGTAGTTTGACCCTACCCTTTCAGTGACCAAGTACGACCCCTCCCCAACCTACGACGTGCCCTATCACGATGCTGTACTCTGTTTACCTACTTTAAAGGACTAGCGAAATGTTCTACTAGATAAAGTTGTCAAATATTTCAGTTGTCATGTGAATGGGAACCGAATCGGCCACTGCTGATCGAGGCGATAGGGATAGTATCGGGTGGGCAGCGACGAGCCCGTTCTGATCGCACGTGGTTTGTCTGTGGTGCAATATTCATATTGGTTACAATAATTTTATCCTTATTCCTGGACCAGATCTTTCCGCTTATTTCTCTGCTCCTGTCAGTATTGAGGTGAGTTTCAGAGGTTTTTTTAAGATAGCTTTTCTGTTTATATACGACATGCTCGGCAAACCTAATTCAACAATTTATTCTCTGACGACACACCTCCTCGATAAGCTGCTGAACAGAATCCCTTCCTTGCCTAATGTAGTGTTTACGGTCATCGAAGTTTCGAGGGGCGCTTACCACAGTAACTCCACCAATTGGCAGCCCTACAAGAGATGCCATCGTCGCGTCCACATCTTTTCTGGAACCGTATTTGCCGTCTTACTCGTCTTTTTGAACCTTCATCCCTTTGCCTGTGGTCTCTCGCCCGAAGCTATAGTCAGCGCACGCCATCGCGTTATGTGATTCCTGAAAAATACGACCCCCCTAATTCTATCCTCTATCCCCGAAAAATTCCCAGTTTTCAGCAAAGAATTTTCTGTCAATCAGGGGAGGGCGGAGGAGAGAGTATATACCCAGCGTGAAACAAAAAATTTCTCAGATTTTCCCAACCTCCTACCAGTTTTCCGAAATTTCCTTCTGGTTTTCCCCAAAATTTTGCTGTCGAGCGGGGGAGGGAGGAGAGGTCGTCAGGATTTAACTATCATTTTCAACTATCGGAAACAGTAGTTGTATGGACCTTTGGAACGGCCAAGTACGCCCCCCCTCCCCTGTTACATCGTCCGTGAAACAAGAAAAATCAACTATCAAAAAAATTTTTTCTCAGACCAAATACGACCCCCTCCCTCGCGGTCAAATACGACCCCCGTTGTGATCATCACAACGATGGCGTGCCTTGCCTACAGTGCCCCTTTACACACTCGTCCACAGTTCTAATCAGCTGTCGAGAGGAGGGTTTCGTTTGAGGTTTATCGGAACGTGCGTCAAACCGGGAGATGTCTCTGTGACACTCTCTTTCACTTTCGTGACCATCTTCCCACACTTAACCCTCACCTCTGCTAATGCCCTCTTTTTCCAGGTTCACCTTGACAGTCGTAATGGCTTTCTGCGTATGGTACGGTGTAATAGGACTTACATTGGAGAGAAAAGCTCTCAAAGCGGCCAAACAGTCAATGCGACAACTACTTAATGATTAGCAGTAACGTGTATCTTTGACACTTTAATATACTGCCCTCAATAGGTACGTGGCAACTTAAATTATAGTTCTAGGTTACAATTGTGTATCTTTTAGTGAAGCTGGTCTCTAGTAGTGATTATTTCTGTAAATACTGGTAGCTCTCTATAGGTTAATTGTTAGTAGGAGCCTACTCTTTTAGGCACACTGTTGTTAAAATGTAGTTTTAGCTGTTCTCTTTTCAATTCTAGTTTTCATCTGTGATAAAGTAATAATGTTTCCAAACCAAATAATCGAATTGGTGGCCTTGAATAAATGTGCTGTCAATGATGGTTGTGTGGCTGATTGTTGTTGCTGTTGTTGCAGCCGCGTATCAGATTCCATCTTATATATGTTTTGAATGGATTATTTTGTTTGTTATTGTTTTTAAGACGAAATTCGGCGACAGTGGGGGGGGCATTTTGTACTTTTGCTGCTTCACCGCTTCCGGTTTACAGGTCTCACTGTGATAAAACCTGTCAACTTTTGTAAGCTGAATGAAGTAGTTCATGAAGTGAATTTCTTACGAATTTACATGATGTTCTCTTTTGGCATGTTTTCTTTGGAAGAGTTGGCAGCCGTTGTCTGCTGACCGTGACCGGTATCATTTCGGGGCTTCAAAGATTTCACAGGTCTCCACCAGAACGGCTCAACATCTCCAAAGTGCGAAATGCCCCCCCCCCTCCAAGTCGCTGGATAGCGCCGTTTTCCCCATTGTTTTTCTTCATAATAATGAAGTGCTCAGAACATGAATCGGATAATCAACTGGATCAAAAGCAGAGCGGATCACAATGTTGTAACATATTCGAGATTTGGTTTACCGGGTGAGTCCCAGTTGCTTCTGTTTAAGGGCACTCATTGTTGATTGCAGTGCAGTTCTTCTAGGATACGCCTGTTTCCTTTTAGGCAGCAATCAACTTCGCGATGGCTCGCGACGCGCTGTAATAGCTGCAGCAGCGCTCCAGTGCTATTTGGGCAGTCTGGTATCGATCGGCCCTGACTGCTAAGGCTCTGAGAAAGCGTAGAAGACTGGGCGAGTACCAGATTGTGTGAAGGGCAGCGCCTACCCTCCAGTTATGCTTTCTTCTTTAAAGTACAAGCGCCGATTGATTCCCGTCTGCGGCAGCAGTCGCTTATAGCTTTAGAGCGCTGCTGCAGCTGTAGTAATTTGCAACGCGTTACAGCGCGTCGACGCCCGTCCGCGAAGTCCGAAATGCCTCATCCATTTTCTGCTCTACTCTAGGTCATGAGGCGGATGTGGCGTAAGTAGCAACTAGCGTGCCAGTCCACACAAGCAGGTCGGGGTTCGAATTCCGCGCAGGCCAATAAAGCCTTCTATCTCCGGGACGCTAGATTGGTACGCTAAACGCTAAATTGGACTGGAGGGATGATAACGATGACTTGTGCGTCGGCTTTCCCCCTCATCTCCCCAGCCATCATTGATATAAAGCCACATAGCATTGTCAATAAGAGCAACACGATCCTAATGAAATGGAATGCGCTGCCCCCGCATTAGCATAAGAAGGCGTACAATACAAAGCCGCGAAACCTCCAGCTTTTCGTATAGTAATGGTATTGTTCTGTATTCCAGGTTTTGGCGGGCTTATCGAGTTTAGATTAGATCTTGGAACAATGCCCACTAACAAGGCGAGGTCGTTCAGGGCGTGGGTGCGCTTTCCTCGTGACTGAAAACGGTTTTCTGCATATTGTAGGGGCTCATGCAAGGACCTGAAAAGTGTGCTTCATTTTCGCTGCGCGCTTCCACGAAAGGTAAAAAACGAGTGAAAAGAAATCTCAGGAATCTGCTCCGTTTTGGGCCTCTATACGGCGTAGGTCACTTGCAACTTTGACCAGTAGCTGAGTGGGGGGTCCTTATAAAGGGGCTATTTGAATCGAAGCGAAAAGTCAGCGCAAGTGAGCTTCCAACTTGGGCCGGCCTCCCAGCTAGTGCTCAAGCGTGAAACGGCTTCTTGCCCAATGTAATTTATCACGATTAGAGCGCTACGCATCGTCGAGCTCGGATGGCCTAGTGGATAGAGTGGAGGTTTCGCAATCGGACAGTGGGGGTGGGGTTGATGGTTCGGCTCCCCTTGCGTCGCGGCTTTTTGCATTTTTTGATTTCGCTGTTCTAGCTTCCATTTGTAGAAACGCCACTCGATCTAGCGCCGAATACGAACTTCGGATATGCCATTTATGCGGCACATTTCCGAGTAGTTTTCACCTTCATGCAGTCAAAGCTGCTATTCAACTATTCGATTTTCACGCACATACTGAACAAGTATTGTTGCTGGACGTTTGATTCCTCATGGCTTATAAGTGGATCTCATTGCGAATTTAGTAATTCTGGTGTGGTGCGATTATAGACAATCTGGGGCCACATCTTCTTTCCACTGAATTCGTTATGTACACCAATAACAGGCGAACGTTCAGCCCAGCGCTATTCATTACGGGCGTCAAATGCCGCGCGCCCCAGATTGCGTGGACGCCAAGAATAGGTGTTATATTTGTGATCAGGGCCACTGATTACCACTAAAAGCGAATTTTCGATCAAAACAATTGTTTTGTCCTTCTTGGGTCTGCTTATTGGGTTGTTCGGGGTCCGTAGCGCCAACGATACGCATCGCTGTTACGAAGATGTGAGGACTCTGGCTCGACACTGCGTACCAATGGTCAACCCTCACAACCAGAAAACAAGTCGAAAAGAAAATTTTCGCTCAAAACTTGCTTCTAGGGGTAATCGACAGTCCTGATCACGATTCTAAACTTTATTTTCGGTTCCAGTGCCATCTGGCACCGGCAAGAACTGAGATCTGTGCCATATAACGAATGAACGAAAAAGCAGTTTTGCTCCATAAAAGTAGGATTGTTCAGTTTATCGTGAATGTTTTTGTTAGGACCAATTATTTAGACAAACATGGATCCAAAAAATGAAAAATTGTAGAAAAGCAAAATTTTGTCCTCGGTGGGATCCGAACCATCGACCTATTTTTTACGTTTTTTTTATTCGTAGAAGCGCGCAGCGAAAATGAACCTCAGTTTTGTGGTCCTCGTATGTACCCCTACAATATGCACAACACCGTTTTGAAAAAGCTCACCACGCCCTGAACGACCTCCCTTGTAAGAGGACGGTAGAATGCGGTCAGGTGAATGAAAATGCCCTTGTAGAACGTACCGTCGTAATTGGAGGGGGAGAAAGTGATCAAGCACCACCGACTAGTATGACGCATTGGGGGTGACTGTATTTCAGTGAAAACTTCGTTCAACAATCCGCCAATCAGTTGGGAAAACTGGGATGTTGCTAGCTATATTATTTACCGTCCCACAGCAATAGGTGTTTACCGAGCCAGATGGACGCGATGCGGCATACGAGGACCCACACCGTTCAACATGGCGGCGGCGCTCGGCGGTTGGCTCATCCTCCTCTTCCTAGGTAATTTCTGCTACATGTCGACTGGTAAGTATAACTCCACACACTAGGCGCAACTGTGATACGCAGTCCAATACGAACCTAGTGTTGCGGTCAAAGAGACTAGCGTATGAGACCGCGTTGTTTTTTCGTAAATTCTACCATTATCATTCTCAGGTGATGAACTAGATGATCGCCCTCCTCCTACGGTTATTCATGTCGCTCCGTTCCGTGAAGATAGCCCAGAGTTCTCTGCATTTGGTACCCATGCACAGCGAGCAGCAGTAGTTAGTTCCTTTCCTCGTGTATTCGGAGGTGTTCTTGTGAAGCTCAGATTCTAATCTTGTTCATTAAGATATCTGCTGGTGTCGGGATGTCACTGGTTATCTTTCTGTTCCTCTCCGTATTTTTCGAATTCGACTGGTATCATCATGAAAAAGGCATCGATTTAGGTGCACTCAGTGAGTTCTTAGCTTGTGTTCGGTAAATTAGCAGCTTTATTACGTATTTGCATCTGCGTGGAAACGGATATGATTCATGAAGTGGAGTACACCGTCTTTATCGCGTGGCCGTGGTTGATGAGGGGCGTTCCACGTGTGGCGACGAGTTAAGCTCCATCAGCTTCAGCGTATCTCCAAAAGTAAGTGATCCGTTCCCTCCCCCAAACTCGACCTTTGAGAGCGCTAGATAAACAGACTTTGTTGCGCCCCTCATGACATCCCTTTACTGTCCGCGGCTCCTTCTCCGATCGTACCCCATCATAGGCCCTCACTGTGGGAATTTGCTGCATCCCTCCCAAAAATTCCTCATCTGTTACCGAATCCCTTCCCCATTCCTACGCCGCTATCCTTCCTGATTATTTTCAGAGCCCTGCCATTTTTCCGCTCCTCAATCTCACAATTTCGTCTCATCCCCACCTCCTCCCCCCCCGGACCCATGTAAACTGCCATCGAAGGAGTTGTTACACGACAATCGTAATATCGCGCATAAGAACATGGGCCGGCGTGGCGAGCGGGATAAACGTCGGCATCCGACGGACGTGTTGTCCTGCCTGCCGTCGTTTGACTTTAGCGTCAGGGACGAGAAAAAATTCAGATATCTTTTGGCGTGCGTCTTGTTTTCGCCTTGAGTTTATTATGGGTGTTAATCTGCTACAACAAGGAAACCGATCGGCACCAAGAATTTGCCACACGAAACGTCGCGCGCTACTACGCGACGCATTACGATTGTCTTGTTCGTCTCCCGCCACCGTGGGGAGGGGACGTATGTAGCGCCGAAGGAGAAGAAATTAGTAAATTCAAGAGTAAAAAATTTATATCAAGAAAAGTCAACAACTAAACTTCCTCTAAAAAACAAGTACGACCCCCCCCGCAGGCGTGCCGAGATGGATCCCAACGTATGACGCGCACTGTTTACAAAGCAAGCATCCTCATCCGTAAGGTCATATTTTAGTCGGTCTACTGCTGTTCCTCATTGGCGGCATGTTGATTCACTGGTACGTTGTTCGTGGAATAAAAGATGGCCAACCTCGCTATCTTGTCCCATTCGTTATCGTTTACACGGTGGTACTTCGTACTTGAAGCATTCTTCTTCATCTTATCGCTTATTGTAAGTTGAATGTTAGAATTCACTTTTTCCCGTACAAGTGTTGAATTCTTATAGAAATCATATTGTCGTTCTGAGCTATCTGAAGACCGTGCCTCCTCAGACATCATCGGTAAGTTGTTTCTTTGTAGTCATACTTCTACTAATCCCTAATTACCCTATATTTTATATTAATTATGTGGTCGATCAGGGTTACGTGATTGTAACGGCCATGTTCGTATTTGCTATGGGTGTACAAGGTGTAATGCTCACAGCTGTAGTAAGGTAAGTAGAAGAGTGAGTTTTTAGGGCTTCGCCAATGATTCGCTTTTTTCTGTCGCATTTAGCGCTCGCTTACCTGATCTTCTAAGGTCTGTGCTGCGGTGCCCCAAAGAATAGCTCGGCAATAGGAAGAAGACGCTCGTTCAGGCTACCGCACTCAAGTTGCGATTATGCCAGTTTGTGGTGTAGCCCATGCATCCAAGAATCAATCGAAACTCACATTTCTCATATTGAACATTTTCTCAGCAAGCATAAGTTACAATGCGAGTGAATCCGTTTCCCAATCGCCCACTGGCTAAGGCTGTGTTCATACTTTGCCTTTCGGTCGTTCAGGGAGAATCGGAATATTGAGCCCGAAAAGGATAGTTCAGAGTTGCGTTGTCTTGATCGGCTCTGGTCCTAGCGTTTAGGAGAATCGGCGCTCCTGAGAGGATCTGCGCTTCATGGGAGACCCTCATTGATTGAGCGAAAGAAAGATAGGGAGCGTCATCAATTTAGCGATTTACGAGAAGATATGGCTCCTCGTTTCAGTTTCGCTCGATAATTCACGCAAAACGAAAGTATGAACGGCTTTAGTTTCGCTGCTTAAAGAATCAACACCCGCGATAAAGGTGTCATGGATAGTTGCCTTTTGATTATGAAACTGTAGCTGGTAAGTAATTCATCAAAAAGAAAAAAAGCAAGAGGAGCGCCATAAACAAAATCGCTTCCTTACAGTCACACCTACCTGCGGTCTCTGTGCAACCTCTGACTCACAGGTTCCTTTATCACATTTCCCAGTAGTGGATATCATCCAATGAGTCTACACAACAAAAAACAAGGAAGGAAAACCCTGAAAAACGCAAACCAGAAAATTTCAACAAAATTCCGGAAGAACCCATTACTCCGCACACGCCAGCCATCTATTCATACTTTGGCTGCTGAAATTAGACCGCTACAGGTTAGCGCGCATCTTTCAGTGTGTCAGGGTACTACGTCGAGCTTTTGCACACGAAAAGTTAGGTCGGCTTAATGATTTTCTCATATTTTACCTTTGCGAGATGAGATTGGAAACTTGACTGTATGTGTTGCCTCAATGAGAGAGATGTAACCAATCGATAGCAGAAGTCAGGCGCGAGCGTGGTAAGCAAATAGGGCATGCATATCAATATTGCCCTGGTAACGCACTCGCCAACAAAGAACAACTGAGCGGCCCTCCGTCAGAGGGCATTTAGCAAGTAGACGGTCCAACTGAGCGGGCGTTAGAACTAAAACTTCCAGCGGCTGATAAGCTCGCTCCTCGCTCGGCTGTGCGAGCCGCGAGAGTGGAGCGGAGCCTACCCAGCCGACTCCACTTCTTTGCGGCTCCACAGCTGACGCGAGGGACAGTCTCTCTGGCTTGGGGGCTGTCCTACTTACTTGCACAAGGGAGGACTCGAGCGCGGTGTCTGTCTCTAAAGAACAGCACCTGCACACCCCAGTTGCTATTATTTAGCTGTTGTTGCTTAGAAATTATCTATGCAGAGAATAACTTGAATGTGACGTCATCTCATTTAGGTGCAGGAATTATCTCGAAAAACGTCAGATTCATGATCTAGAGATGCGTGTCGCTGAGAAAAGTGTGAGTATCCATAGTCTTTTTTTTCTCCTTGCTAACGTTTTCACTGTCAGTAGAAGTTGTCTGTTACACTGGAGTATTGCGGTTCTTTGCATTCGGTCTCCTACTTTTGTTCTTGGCTCTGAGCTTCCTACTGTAAAGGCCATGTCACCGCGCCTGGGATGAGCGTGTTTAAGGTATTAGCTGTGAGCGCGGCAGCAGGTGCGAACCTTTGAACTGTCGCCGGTCCAGGCAAAGAGCGGTCAGGACAGCGCCAATGTGTTCTGCTGTTTCATGCGCTCGTGCTAACTGTATCCCTGTCTCAGCCGGTGGCAGACCGTTCTATCGCAGCCTCTACTGGAGCCATGATGTGGCATCTTATACTACCTTTTCTCTATCCTTCCCACCATCTTCACAAATTCTTACATCTTACCAATTTTCCAAAAATACCGTTTTTCTAAAAAAAGATACCTTGAAACGGTGAAAAAGCCAACACCTGGAGGAAAATTCTCTGGTATCCAAATACGACCCCCTTCCCCGGCAACAGAGTCCTACCCAGTGATCAGATTCTGGTTCTCCCGCCGATGATGTACCGCGACTCTCGTGAAATATGGAATAATTCTCCTGTCGACGTAGGAGCTATTTCGCTGCTTTTCAGAAACTCCAGCACCCTGGCATTATCATAGTGTTTGGAGCAGGTGATCCAGCTCCGAATAACAACTCTTCATCTGGTGCCAATCCGCCAAACTCGACCGATGCCCCACCGTCTTACGATAATGCGACTCAGGCAGCGAACGGTACAGCTCATTCAGCAACACAGCCGGCTCCTCAACGCACTGTGCTACAGGCTCAGGATGGGATTGTTTGAGTGACCTTCCACGCAACTTTTCTGAGTTCGCTGTTTCTTTTCTCCAAAACATTTGCTTGTGTTCCTCAAAATTCTTTTTATAGACTTGCTTAGTCCGTGGAATGTATAGCGGGGAATATATTGGGTCATTAGATTCATAAACATTCACCAAAGCTTGTAAACCAGCCAAATGTTTGCGAAAACTTGTGTGTACATTATAGTTGAGCACCTTGTTTGATTTTTACAGCTTGACTGATGCCTTGTGATTCCTCGTCATAATCAACTATGATTAAATAGATTGTAAATAGACTGTAAAATTGATGTATAATATTGGAATTGTGACTGGTCAGATTGTTTAGAGAGCATTTCGAATCAAATGTCTGCAATTTTTAACAGCTTTGATATTTATTTTCCAGCAATATTTGCTTTGACATTGTTAGTATTTTTGTCGCTGTAATTGACTAGAATGAAGTTTTCGCAGTGTGGGTTATTTTCATTAAAGCTTTCGGCATTGTTTGCCGGGGCGGTCAAGACAATCGTAACTTGTCACTCTGTGGCAAGCGGCGATGGACGCGACGCTTTCTTGCTTTGCGTTCGCCTGCCGATTGAAGCACCAAGTTTTCTGCAAACAATGACATCGTAGATATTCATGGCTATTTTGGGCTGTGCATTGCCTACTGTCGCCATCTAACAAGACCATAGACACCGGACGTTTGCGGACGCGACGTCGCACGCGACCACCAGTGCGGCGATCTACGATTGTCTTGTCGCATACCCCTCTTTACCCTATACTGTCCCATTTCTTCGGAATTAAACCACATTCTGATCGAGCTCGTGCTACAGGCGTCAGCATCAGACCACTTAGGAGCCGGAGCCTAGAAAGCATGTTCCAGGCGGTCAATATATATGCCCGCCCCTCCACTTAACAAGAACTGAGCGCTTCCGCGTTATCTGTAAAGAGGACATTTCTAGGTTGGCGGTCCAACGGGTGTGAGAACTAAAGAGTTTTCGACGGCTGCAGCACCGTCCTCCACTCGCTGTGGAGTCGCGAAAGTAGGACAGCCTCTGAGTCTGCGGGCTAGGCTACTTGCACAAGGGAGCACGACTACGAACTGCTTGAGCGGGGGGGGGTTGTCTGTCCTTAAGAGCTGCTGCATATAGTCATAAAGGCTAGAATTACTAGCGCAAAGTTATCTAGCACTGCACT